ATCATTGCAGTTTTATACCTATTCACGTGTATCGCAGTGGTCGGAAGCGCATTGCAATACACATGAGATCGATCCTCGCGCCCATGGCCCACTAAGCCCTCCATCCCTCCAGGGTGGGCAAATTGGTACCAGACTTGTCTGGGAGGACAGCAGCACTAGTTCGATACATCGGTAGGCCCCCGCGAGTCATTGTAAAGGCTAGATATGCATTTCAATCACTTCCAGCGATGCTGGATGAAGCCGAATGCGTAGCGCACCCTCAGCGATTGATCAACGCCGAGAACTGTATCCTTTTATCCGTTATCCGCCTACTTTTGAGCCCGCCTACCCCATAAAACCTTGTCTTCTTGCGGTATGAATTAGACACAACTCATGTAAACCATCTTGCCTCTTTATAACAAATAATGCTCTTGTTTTTACTCCTTTTCCGCTCTATTGCTCGGTTTCCCTCGATGGGCTCAAGCAACCGCTGCGCTTTCCAGATTCTAACTATCCTCTAAAGTAGCCAACTTCCATGGACGCCATTTTAATCACCCGCGGCAAAGGTAGCACCTTCGCGTCTCGACATGCCGGTGGACTGGAAGCGGTGGTATGGATGTGCCACAACGATTGGGACACATTTTGTACGATTGTCATCGTTTATTGAATTAATTGTTATAATTGGGTCAGATTTGTTCAGAGAGGTCAAATTTGTTCATTATAATAAAATTTCGATTAAAAATGAATCCCGTATTCAGTTGCCTCCAGCATTTAGCATGAACCTTCGGATACACCTCGATGTGCTTCATTTAATGTTGTGAAGAAAGAACAAATACACCCATGCGGCAAAATACACAATCGGAATGAATATAATTGGGAGGCGACTCAAGTCGGCTGTAAATGGTAGCATTTAGTGCCCAACATAAATTGATCTTCACTTCCACATGCGAATGAATTTTCCTACATACAGGTTTTCTAATTGTAGGTAACGTACTAAAAAGAACCATTTTCTACATCTAATAGTAAGCACTTTTTGAACGAGTTTGTTCACTAAGCCACAGAGACTCCTGTTATTAACGGGTTATAGAGATGTTGAGAATATCATAGATGGGGAAAGTGCTAAGATCACCCTGCGTTCCGCACGAATCCCGAGATGATCAAATGTCTTTCGTTCCAACAAAGTGGGACGAGTATTGTTACTGAGAACACCGGTTGTGGTGACAGCTCGGCCGGTGTGAATTGATTTCAAATCACAGCGCATGTTGAAGAAAATTGGGCGTTATTTTATCTAATATGTTTCCATCACAAGAAATTAGGGATTTGGTGGTCCAGGTGCTAATTACGCCATAGCTAACCTTCGATATCCAGCCATTACGCACCAGTTTGTCAATGAAATGTTGGGCTTTCATAAGTGTCATGCGGTTTGAAAGTTTAGAAACTTCATTAATCGCCCACAAATTACCACATATTCCATTTCGCTCGACAAATTCTCGAAGATAAAGTGAAAATAATGTCATCTCATCCACCCTAAAAAACGAGAATAATAGAAACATCAAAAATGGGGAAAAATATAAAACAGATATGAATTACTCTTCGAAACCAAAATATTAAGAAATTATCCACTTAAATTCAATGTATACTTACGTAAACCCAGTGGCAATACCAGTGTCCTTCCCAAAGACATCATCGCTTACCAACACCACCAATTCATGGCCGGACCGTTCGTCGCTAATAGATGTTAGTCGTACGCCCACCTTAAAAAAAAACAACAATTCCTTTCCTCACACAAAGAAGTAGCGATAGGCCCAGCATTATGTGGATAAATAAAAAAATTAAGCTCTCAAGGTTGATCAATCGCTTAGGGATGCGCCAAGCATTCGACTTCATTAAGCATCGTTTGGAGGTGATTGAATGCACATCTTGCCTCTACAATGACTCGCGATGGCCGACCGATGTATCGAGCTATTGCTGCTGTCCTCCCAGACAAGTCTGGTACCAATTTGCTGAGCCCCAGAGGGGTGGAGGGCTTGGATGCCCGGAGGCGCGAGGATCGACCCCATGTGTGTGCTGCAGAGCGTCTCCGATCACTGCGCCACACGCCCCCTTAGCATTACATGACAGATCCAAAATTACCGCAGACAGGTGGTCGTTCAGTTGCTTAGAAAGTAATGCAACAAGGCCTTCTAAATCATCCACCGAACAAACTATTCTGGAAACGACATCCTGGTGTCCTAAACTTGAATGAATTGAAATAAAGTCCTTTAATTAATTCGTAGACTTGGTGAAAACACTGAACACTGCGAAGTACACATGTATTCCTCACTTTTAAACTTGAGAGTCACCGCGCTACGAAGAAAATTGATGCAGAACTGCTTCTTCTGAAAAGGATTTTGCCTTTAAAAATCACAGAGCAGGAAGTATTTAACAATGTAAAACCAATGAAATGATGACTCCACCGTTACAATCCCTTTGTTGACCATAAGCGTTGCCAGAAGCTGGTGTGCAATTGAGAATTCCCGAGCAAACTCCATGATCTCAGTGAATGATGGTACCTAAGTGACCACATAGTTCGGAAAAGTTATCGCCGTACTTATAACCAGGACTAACTGTTAATGGCAAAAGTACTATTCGTTGTTGTATTCGGAATATCTGTCCAGTATAGCTCCTTAACTAACACACGCTAGATGCATGGGTATTATATAGTGGTAGAAATAAATGCAATAATTAGAACCACAACGATACTGAGATATTCGCAGAACTTCGACCTCGGGCCAGATCGAACCACGATTGTCCTTTCCGGAGGCTCGCATATGACACAAGGCACCACTGACGCCCTTGCTTTGCGTTTCTCTCAGCTAATTTTCTACCTAACGCTGCTATCAGCAATCATCCATCAGCGAGACTGATCTGAGGAGCACAAATCGGCATTGAACTCACTTAAACTGAGGGTGTAGGCCAAATCACAATGTTAATAATTAGAATTTTACCTTATAATAAGAGTCAGAAGTACTGTCCACTTCGTCGGTCATCTCGTTAACAACTTCCAAACCAACTGCGTTCCGAAATGTGGACATGCTAGGAATTGAAAGTTGACAGCAATACAGTGAACAAAGAATCTTGCAGAATCACCACTGTATGACCATTGTATGGATCAATCATTACTCACTTACTTGGACACTTGGACGGCCCATCTTCACTGGTAGTGCGGGGCCCAGCACAGGTCCCATTTTTCTAGAGTTTTACTGGTTTAGCCATTGTGGTTCCCTGGAGTCCCGAGACCAGCCTAGCCAATGTTTGCTCAGGTCGTCACCATCATAAACAATCGCCGTACTTGTAGATCAGAAGGTGGTTTGCCATCACGCCACTAGTTTGCTATAAGGACGGTGGTGGATCCTGGCCTTGGTTTACTCTTAGCTAGGCTTCCTGATGGAAAAACCAGATTGGTTCTCAGATTGGGAGATCCTGCCGGAGAGATGAATCTTCTGTTGTACATCGCACTCGACACTCAGGAACACCTCCCAGCCATGATGAGGCGGTCAAGCGTTGAGAGGAAATTAATATGTGTACATATATGTATATATATGTATGTATATATACATATATATATCGTGTTTAATGCATAGCCAATCCAATAACGACGCCATGGTTTGTGTTCTCTACGAAAAGCTCATACAGATCCACACTTTACTCCCAAACGACCATCTTCGGGGAAGTCAGTTTGCTCGATTTGATTCCCACTTCAGGTTTCATTAATATGTATGCACTATTTCCACATTGAGATTCTCAACATTAGGATATTCCATTTGCACTCAAATTGGTAAATCACAGAAGAAACTTGTGTAACCACGTTTGTATATAAAATAAATTCAAAATCTACATCCGAATGAAGCGCAATTCAAACTACCTGTTTTTTCTTAATGTGCCTTTGCAAACACCACTCATCTTAAATTTACACCCCTACACTTCATTGATGTTACGAACTTTTTATACACAATTTGAATAAGAAGGAAGCGGGTGCTGAAGCGGTAGTGGTGCCATTCATTATGCGGCCCGACCTATTTATGTCCTGGCTCAAATCCGCACCTCGGCCACCACGCCATTTATATCCATATCTTAAAGATCCGTAAATCGGCATCAGATTCGTCTGGGACAAGATCACTGCCTCTAATTTAAGCGAAAACACCCTGGCACGACCAACCTAAGATTCCAGGGAGAATCGACTCGACCAGTATTCAACGACATTCGTGACGGAGACAAAAATCACCAAGCAGCAGCCGAATCTGCACGTAAAAAGTGCTCGAAGTGGATGGATGGCGGATGCGACGAAACGAATCACTAAGGTCCAGACCAGGATGCCACGACACTCATAATGAAAGGAAAATCTTCAACCAGTAGGCGAAGCGACACGTAAAGGTTGTAAGACTTCATTGGACAATGGGTACGAGGAAACGAACTGAATGTGAGAATTGCTAGGATCCGCATAGTAGACGTGAAGACGGGTCGTTTAAAATAAAAGTAAAAAAAGTATGCATGCTTGTATAAAATAATTCCGATTGTAAAAAAAAACTTTGGATTCAAATTCATCACATACAGATCAACATTCATTTTCAAAACAAAGCTTACACCCATACAATATTATTAATATATGACAATAAGCCAATAGTTAGCTTAGTAACCTAAGAAAGCAAAATAGTTGTAAGAGTGGATATACAATACCCTAGGAAACTATAATGTGCAATAACGTGGCAATTCTATAAATAGGACAACTAACGTGACTTCTAGGCACCGTTAATATCTATAAAATTATACTCAAGATAACAAGTAGTTGAATTCTAAAACTATGTCCAAGCATAGATTTCATCCTACAGTTCTAACGCAAATATGTCAAATACTACAATAACTGGCAAGCACTGTTAGTTAATGTTATAGTTAGTAGGTTCGTAAAGTTAGAAAGAACAGATATTCGAAGTGAAGCAAATTCAAGCATATATGGCTATATAGGAGAGAAACACCGTTATCTGTTAAGACTCAGCACCATTAGCCCGTTCTAAAACCACCTGGATCCCTTCAAAGTTGCCGCGAACATTTCTGATGGCTTTATCTAGTCTCATCTGGATTGCCTCTGCCGATGCAATGAAACTATCCTTGTATCTAAAAATCATTTGATAACGACACTCATTTCCAATGACACTTCTAATTCCTGGAGAGAAACGTAGTTGAACATGCAATATGGAAAAGCTTACAAACATGTAGGCTTGAAATAACTAGTCAGTCTCACCTCCAATTAAGATGTGCATGTGGTGTTCCGCAAAGAGCTTTGTCCCAGTACCCGTCAACAACTGGAGAGTGCCATCGAGCAAAGCTCATTTTGTCCTTCCTCCTAGTAGTTTTCTATTTGTTATACAAGCGGAACTTCTGACGTGAATTTCAAACCTTGGAATATAGGAATTGGAATATATACCTCTTCTGCCAACCATGTAGTATAAAATCTTTATCACACCAAACAGAATTCGTTAACCAACCATCGCGAGCCCATGCTGTTCCCTCAAAAAGGAAAAAGTGGAGGAATAACAAGGGTTCTAGAAAACTTGAAAAACCAATACTTTTTGCAAGATGAGGATATGTTGCAATGAGTTTGAAGCTAGGATCAATTGCATACAGACCTCATATATTGACAAGGAATCGTAATCTCTGGAAACAATCACTTTTTTCTATTACTGAAAAAGCAGTGGAACGTCATACTTAGAAGTCGCCCAGAAACTTTCACAACGTTTGCGTGAGTTTTCTTGAAGAGGTTGTTCGTACGAAACAATGGCGCTCTGGAATTACAAATGGGAAGAATTTATCTGATAAGTCAAAAGTCAATAAGATCACCTCACATGAAGTGCTCCATTGTCAGATCCGTGAAAACTGCTAGGCAGTTTGTACTCGTAATCGCTCCAGTGAATTAAGAAATTCCGTGAATAATTAGATTTTCTGGAAAACAAAGGTTAGCAAAATGTATATAGTTCAACGGCATCGAATATTTTAAAAAATAATCAGACATCCTTAATACTTACAAACTTGATTGTACTTTACTTCATTTAAATATATTTCGTTAGTAACTATGACAATTCTCCCAACAGTTTACCGCCTCATCGTGGCTGGGAGGTGTTCCTGGGTGTCGGGCTGCGGTGTACAGCGGGGGTTCGTCCACCCAGCAGTGTCCCTCAGAATGAGAAGGAGGCAGGCCTTCCCAACTGGAATCCCAGCTAAGAGTAAACTAGTACCAGGAATCATCACCGGGTACCAAACTAGTTGAATGGTAGCAAACCTCCCCCTGATCCACAGCGACGGCTTGGGGTAGCGACGACCCGAGGAAAGCTTCACCTAGGCTGACCTCGCGACTCTAAAGAACCACAATGGCTAGACCAGCAAATCTCCAGAAAATGGAAATTATGTTGAGGTCTGCATAATCAATGAAGAAGGGCCATCCGCGTGCAAGTAATTATTGTGACATTATAATCGCAATGGTTTATCCACTCATCATACTTCAGTGGCGTTTATTGGTGTTGTACACCGAAATAAAGCGTCGAATTCACCACTAAATCAGAATCACTTAAGCTGCAACGGAGTTTGAAATCCTCATATGGAAGCCCAGGTAAAACCAAAGCAATGGCAACAACCACCGTACTACTTCTAGTAACCACTAAGAAAATAACACATCTTCCTCCAATTAACAACGGCAGGGGTGCTGAACAAGCTTTAGCACGGCTACGTTGAGATTTCAGGAAAATAAAATCTAACCCGACCAGAAAAATACCGGCCACGTATGGAGATTACGATGAATACCGAACAGCAGGAATACAGCCACAGATCCAGAACTACATGACCACAATCGGATTTGTACAGTGTTCACTTGGAGGTGTCCAATCTTCTACAGTCCCATATGATAACACGTTCTCAGAAGGAAACAACGAAGCACCTCTAATATGTTAATATTTCCAAAGAAAAACTACCTCAAATGTCGCTCGGCTTCGTTGTTGAGCGTGCTCTACAATCCCTTCATGAAGATTGTCGTAATCCATATATCAAGAACTTTAGATGAAGGTCAACCAATCCAGCAAGGATTCCGACAGAAACGATACTGCACGGACTTTCTCTGAGTTTTTGCTATTGTGATAGAACTTTGGTAGAAATACTAGCAACCCCTTGTCTACAATGAAAGCATAACATTCTAACTTGTCCAGAATAAAAGTTCAACTTTTGGCGACAATGAAAAGGTTAAACAGTGTCGAAACGAAGGCCTTAACTACGAAATGGATTTGTCTCAGCTACGTAGGACGAAAATGTAGTCCTCTCATAAAACCATTACTACCCCAAAAGAAACAGTTGTCCTATAAGGCGACACTATTCTGTCAAAGCTTTTCACAGCACCATTACATTGACCAATGGAGTCTCATTAGTGAAACGGAAAACGTATAAGTATTGATGGAAGATACTTGTTTTCAATTGGCGCTATAAACAAAAAGATAAGAATTTCAAAAATAAATAGCAAAAAAAGAGACCAGTTCAAAAAAATCATTATACCTCTTTAGATTGTTTAGCTTAAACGGAATTGTTACAAAAATCTATTGGATAAGGTAAAGGAACTAAAGAGATATACTGGCTGTTCACTCCCAGGCTAAGTAAGAGTCGATTTAGTAAAATTCATAAAAAGCTCATGACGAAATAGCAAACAAACTAAACCAACATTTCCTTGACTACGAAATTAGAGTAGCACGGGCCACGCTCGGACCTCACAGAGGACCTACTTATCAACTAGTGGACACAAAAGCGATCCTCGTTGCCCTCCGCTGCACGGCTAAAAGTGGATCGACACTTCAAGTACATCGTTTTCTGAACTACCCAAAGAGCGCTTGAAGCAAGTCTCCAGAACAAAATGTTAGCACAAAACATCAAGCTGGTTTCGGCAGTTCAAACCTTTGAAAATTATCAGGACTGAGAGGAAGAAGAATAGGAACAGATGAATTGCAACAGGAGGTAAGTGTTCTCTAAGAGATTGATATATAGAAACACTAGGCAAGCAAGACACAACAGCGACCTGCTCTTCGAATATCCTGTTGAAAGACTGTCTCAATGAGTAGGCCGAGTGATAAAACTGAGAGTGAGTGAGACAGAGAGAGAATCCAAATTTCCAATGTATGTCGAAGATCACCAAATATTTATGCTGTTTTATACTCCACGACGTCAAAAACTGTGAGCACAGTACACGATCCGTCCTGCGTATAAGCCGTTGGCGACTGAGTTCCAAGACATATTAGGACCACAACAAGAATACTGACTCAGGACTAGTGCCAAATATTACCCCAGTCGATTGTTTTGTATCTTAAATATGTTACATTACTTGCACCTTGATGGCCCAGCCTCACTGGTTGTCCGGAACCCAGCATAATCTCCACTTTTTGGAGATTTGCTGGCTTAGCCATTGTGTTTCTCTGGAGTCCCGAGGTCAGCGTGGTCAAATTCTGCTCCAGGTCATCACCACCACAGGCAGCCGCTGCCCTTGTGGATCAGAGGGAGATTTCCACCATGTTACTAGTTTGGTACCAGGATAGTGACCGACCCTGGTATTGGTTTATTCTTAGTTTGGCTTCTTGATGGAAACGTTAGACTCCTTCTTAGCTTGGGAGACCTAATCAGTGGGAGGAATCCTCTCGCAGTACATCGCAGCCCGACAACCAGGAACTTCTCCCCAGTCACGATGATGCGGTAAACCGTTGGACGGAATAGATTACATTGCATTATATATGTATACAAACCGAATAAGATAAGAACCAGCCATGACTTCATGATTGAATATCCTATTATAAAAGACGACATGAACTGTTGGATCACTAGGAATGTACTCTTCAATCAAATGGTTTGGATTTATGATAGCCATGTCTGCATCCAAAAACAGGAACCACTCCTCTGGCCATGCAAAAATTAGATGGGCTACAACACAGTGACGTTGGAACATGAACTGAAATGCTATAGAATCTATTGCATGAACAATCTAACAGTTACCAGAAATAACTCAAGGCATTGAGTGATTACTTCCACTGCCCTGAACTCACATCATTTTGAGGACAAGTGCGAGACAGAGTGGTGTTTTCCTCAACAACAATTACGTGGAGCGGATAGCGATGGTGCAGGGCATAGCACTGCACAGTGTCTTGTGCCTCTCTGTACTGTTCTTTGTTCGAAGCATACTGCACCACTACCACAATAGATATTGCTGTGTTGGCACCTGATAAAAATATGGTCTATCTATGAGAGAAAAGTGAATAAAAAACGAAGGACGACGAAAAATACTGATAAGATGATGAGTGGATGTCACTAGAATCCTACCACCGACCACGACTTGGAATCAAACCCAATCCCACATGACTATGCGATCTAATTATTCATATGTTCAAGCAGTTCCTAGAATATATCGACGGCTATATCTGTTATGCAGCGCAGTGGTCTGAAGCGCCTTGCAATACACATGGACTGCACCCCAGGTTCACCAAGTCTTCCAACCCTTCGAGGTCGGCAAATTGGTAGCGAACTTGTCTGTGGAAGGATAGCAGTACTGACTCGATACATCGGTAGGTCACCGATAGTCACTGTAGAGGCCAGATATGCATTCAATCACCTCCAAGAAGTCGAATGCATGGCGCATCCCTCATGGATTTATCAACGCCAAAAGCTTTGCCCTTTATCCTCTTTATACCTGTCATACTGCTCTATTGTCCGGGTACATAATATAATATGAATACGTTACAGTGGTCAACACGAAAAAAAAAAGACATGATACCTCTCCTGATCTGGATCGGAATAGAAACTTCGTGTCCATAATAATTCATTAGAGCAATGAAAGCAGTTCCGACATTTACTTCTTCAACGATGGTAAGTGATAACACAATTAATAGACAAACGATAAATCTGAGATGTCTATGCCGGGTAACAGGGAAAAGCACCTGGATATGCATTCACTTGTCTCCCGGACACAGCCTAAACATTGCTATTATCCCACTGATTAACTATAATGATAACTGTTATGAGGGAAGTTTCACTTCGAATGACGAAGATACGCTAACCGTTATTACACCGTAGATCACAATTATTCATTATATTAAGTAGGCAACAAAGTTCCCGAAGTATCACAGTTTTAAGATAAATCAATCAAAACGATGCGAAATGCAATTATGGGACTATCACTAATATTTTAGCAGTTTTAAAAATATACCAGATATGCATCAAGAAGTGCTAGCAAGGAGGCTTTAGAAGAGAAATAAAAGTTAAGAAAACAACAGTCATAACTGTTCAATAATAAACCAAGTGAAGAAACTACATGCACACTGGCTTGTCTTTGACATTTTTAAGGACATAGTCAGTGAAAGTTCGCAGAAATTTGGGGTACTCCTTCTTGTACACATGCCGCAATGCGGTTGTTGGTACCCATCCTCCTGGATGAACTAAAACGACTACTATAATGACAGATTGAATAAATTGCTGACTTATCCAATTGAAGAAATATAAGGGAAGAGACTACTTGGATGACCCATCCTCATCGGTTGTGTGGGCCCCAGAATGATCTCCTTTTTTCCGGAGTTTTGCTGGTTTAGCCATTGTAGGTGGTTCTTTGGAATTCCGACGTCAACCTGGCCAAAGTCTGCCCCACGTCAGCATCATCACAGGCAGTCGAAGCCTTTGTGGATCAGAGCGAAGTTTGCCACCATGCAACTAATTTCATATCACGACGGTGGTGGATCCTGGTATTGGTTTACTCTTAGCTGGACTTCCTAATGGAAACGCTCGAGTCCTTTCGATCCTGGGAAACTCTGCCAGGGGATGAATCCACTCGTTGTACATCGCATCTCGACACCCAGGAACACCTCTCAGCCACGATGAGGACCGTTGGGAGGAGGGAAGAAACTATCAACATGGAAAGCATTCATACCCAGCACAACTGTGAATTGTACCTGCCTTGCGAAACGTAGATAATATTACACAAAATGTTGTCACGAGAAACTTCAGTTGGGTTAACATCTTTAATCACAGTTTCGCATATCATTGAAACCTTAAGACCAACACGAACACTCGAAGAGGCGACCTAGAAATAATATGTACAAAATGGAATGTCAAACGGTTTAACGATAGAAAAAGGAACACAGTTTAAGTATACTAGGAGGTTATAACAATCAATATAAGACATTTTGGCTTCCCTCGAAATAATAACACGTTACTGCAAACGGCCACATATTTTCTAAGAGATAATATTTCTGACTAATATAATTTCAAAAGGCGCGTGTGGCGCAGTGATTGGAGCCGACACGGAGACACGCACGTGGAGTCGATCCCCGCGCCCATGGCCCACCAAACCTTCCATCCCTCCGGGGTCGGCAAATTGGTACCAGGCTTGTCTAGGAGGATAGCAGCACTGGCTCGATACATCGGTAGGCCACCGCGAGTCGTTGTACAGGCCAGATATGTATTCAATCACCTTCAACGATACTTAATGAAGTCGAATGCGCATCCCTCAAGGATTGATCAACGCCGAGAACTTTATCCTTTATCATTTAATATAATTTCAAAACCTGCTTACAGGAACATCCGGTCGTGTTACATCCTTGTTACATACGATATAAAGATCATGTGCCTCTTTACTCTTCAATTCATCCACTCTGCGAATATGTGAAACAAACAACGATTCACGAGATGCTGCTGGCCAGACCTTAACATGGAAAATAGGAAATTTCGTGAGTACTGCTAATGCCGTGGAATCCTAGATACGCGCATGAGAAGTTGGTTACTGAGGATATCACAGTTTTCTAACAGAAGAAATATCGTTCGTTCTATTGTTCTCGTTTTCCAAATACAGACCTCGACAAAATGTGACAAAAATACGATTTTGGGGCCCACAAAATCAGGATTTTACCTTGGTAGAATAAAAGATACAGTATGTTATTGGTGAAAAACTGTATATCCCAATGGTCTACATCTCAATTAATAAACGCTATGTTGATGTTGGTTTAAAGTCGAAAGCACTCATTAATTACACGCCATTTGAGTGGATAACAACTCACGTCGCATCTTAAGTGGTAACGGTAAAACTTCACGGTTACCCTATGTGAAGATATTCCAGTTTTACTAGTCACCATCAAATAACTCATAGTTAAAGATCGTCATATATGAGGTTGAGGCTAGTTGCTCACTGTTTTATGTTTTTGATGCAAAACCATGGTGTCACGACTGATCCTTTCAACGACACACATTCCATTTAATGTATGGTCCCACTCCATCTTGTACTTGTCATCGAAGAAGTAATGCATGAATTCAAGAGCTGTCACTCCCTTAAAGGAAATATCAACAATTCGGTGAATTCGAACGCCACAGAGATGCTGCTAATCAACCTTCACTTGGTGAACTGCTTTAAGTGGATCTATAGGCAATCCTCCATCAACAGTTTCTTCTCGTGTGTACATCTTCATTGCACCATCTTCGGCAAAAAGGGTCCAAACTTTTTCTTCAACACCAGCAAGAGCGTATCTTAACATTTAATTATATAAACCAGTAAAACAACGAATATAAAAAGTTTACCTGAGCTGCTCTTTCGTTAAATTGTCTATCAAATCGTAATAGGAGTGGGTATTCGGAATTAAAACATTGTCGTAATCCCCAAATAAAAGAGTCTGTAATTATGGAAAATCAAGAAGCAGTGATTCTAAGTAGATCCCGAGAATGAAAGAAAGCAACTATGCAACTAACTCGACTAGTTTTCTGCTCATTTTCTCGTTCGTCTCGGACGAAGTTTACGGTTATAGGGTTTTCAGATGAATGAGACTGGCGTTCCATAGCTTCCTCAGCACTATCAAACGACAAAGATGAATGTTCATCAGCGTCGTGCCACTCATCGCCACAATCACTTGTCTGCAGATAAAATGTTCCATGACTTCTGATAACACCATAATTACGAGAAATTTACTGATCACACAGCTCCAAAAATAACCACACTGAGCTTTTCAAATGCCAAAATGGTAATAACCCAGAAAGTTTCTATATGAATACAGAGCATACTAATGGCTATTTATCAATACTAATGCGGAAATGTAACAAATTTTCTATGGTCTTTGAAGGAAATATGCGAATAATGAACAGAATCTTATATGCACAAAGTGCTTATGACGCCAGTATTTAAAAATTATGCTTCAATTCCGACCTGCAGCCTTTAACCATGCAAACAAACGCCATAACTACAACAGGAGTACCATGAGAAGAACAATCAACCTTCCAGCACCGCACAGCTTTGTTCGACGACAAGAGATTGCCGATGTGTCACCCTTATCGCACTCCGCACACTCAGTTATGGGACACCGTCACCACTACTGAGTACAAGTCTATGAAAATAATCCAAAATTTCGGAAGTTTTTACCAGTTTCATCGGTAACTATAATAACTCAACGTAAAAACATGCAGAGGCTACCAAATTTCAGTATTTTTCGCCTTCAACTTTACATGAAAACAATAATTGCTCATTTGCGACAAAACTCAGCTTTAGGTAGAAGATACGGAAGGCAATGCGTGATTTTTTCGCCGTTCCCCTCCCATAATTATCGTTCCCTATTAATTCTTCAATCATTAATGCGTTTTACTGGAATCTTTGTTGGATAAGGCGAGACATCTGTGTACCGATAGCTAGTATAGTAAACGTGCCTCGTCGATTGAGAAACTACTAAAGATCCATACTTGATTAACACATACATAGAAGAGAAGCAGACAAGGATTTCCCACGCATGTTATAGAGCAGAACGTGAAAAAGGGATTCTTTTTTTAAAAAAAACCCACCGTCATTTAACCCCAGTATTCATAACATAAATTAACTATTCATACTGAAGTCGAATGACGGTCGGTTTTTAAAAACATAGATAAGCTATGTCCAAACTAATTTTGACCGATTGCTATATTTGCACTTCCGCCATGAAAATCGGTCAGAACAGCCGGCAATAAATCAACAGCAGTCCTACATAAAAGGACCCCTAGACTAGGGATACTTCATTCGAGCGCCGCTCTCAAGATTATTCGACTCGACACGACTACAAAGAACCAAAACGCTACGTTGAACAACTGTGAACCACTGACTCGGATAATAACGACTCTGAAGAAGTGCTACCTAAGGAAACATTTCTAAAACGTTCTGTTAACTCAACAATCTAAAAAGGAGAGCTAGTGATTCAATGGAAGTGGAGTGGTATAATGGTGTCAAAATGAATGGAGAAAATGAATACTGTTACGATGACCACGGTACATGTTCTCTTTAGATCATCTCAAGAACGTGCGTGGCCAGAAGATGCGACTAGAGGAAACTCTTGTAGGTACAAATGACCAGTAAACAAAACTAGCAAGTGATATCGACGATTTCTGTTCCCCACAGTTCAGATACATACTGTTTTTCTTCTACCTCGTCACTCAGACGGGTTTCGCCAACACACGGAGAATCTAGCAGGACAATGGGCAGATAGCCGGATTGATTGAGTCAAAGAATCAAGTATAAATGCCTTCCCCAAACTTTTGCTGTTTCTACGTATACAAGTAGCCAGGGCCATAAAAAAACCAGTACTTTTTAAAAATCGGAGATGTTTTGTCTGCTTTCATACAAGTATAGCAAAAGACACTATTCTGGTGCATCTGACGTAGAACGTGTCAAGTAGGTAAGGCATTAGATGCAGTCTCTGACACAAGTTTTAGTTTTTTGACTGGATTACTTCAACAATACCGTCAAAAAGCGAATTGCAGGGTTCCGGAAAGTGATGGCTGTAAATCCTACGTTTAAAAAGTGTACACTGCAAACGTGTAAAAACCGTAGGTTGTAAGAAAAAATGTTTTTGAGCATAAAGACTACAACATCGAACCAAACGAAAGATTGTGAGGTTCAATTTTGAAAACCAGTCCAGCTCTAAAGAAACTATGAAGGCACATTAACGAATGTGCACTCAGCGAAACATGATAGTATGATTCGCAGAAATCACGGATTCCAGGAATTATAAAGCATATTTAAGCATCAAAACTGTGGGAATTGCATGTTACATAAAAAAAATTTCTTCGAACTAATTGCCGATAGTATGGAAACTCTGTGAACGCCTAACTTCGTTTACTATCAACAATTTTTATGAAGTTGACTATTCAGACGGTACGGTTACATTTAGACCATTATCCTGAACAGTGTACCATCTCATGGTGTCGAGGTGTCCCTATGTAACCTTTATGGATGAAAAACAACAAAAAGGACTACTGCCAATTCCTTTATGGAAAGGTCCACAATGATACTGAGATATTTGCAAAACCCGAACCACAGATTAGATTTGAACCGCCGATTACCTCTTTCCACTCACGTGTTACCCACTGCACCACCGAGACCCGTGCTTTGACTTTCTCACCCAATTTTTTATTCTAACGATGCCGTCAGTAACCATCCGTCAGCGCGAATGATCTGAGCACAAATCGGCAGTGAACTCAGATAAGCTGCGGCTGCATTAAAAATCACAATGTTTGACACCTGATTTACTGCCTATTTTTTCAACATTATTTTCTTTCACTTTTATTTCTTTTCATTGTGGCTGTATTTCACATAACACCCCTTCATGAAATACAACAGGCAGTAAATAGAGAGTTAAATACTGTGATTCCGATTGCCCCTTCGGTTTAGAAGGACCCAATCCCTATTTGTACTCTCTAGATCGTTCCCTCTGACGGTGATTTCTGGCGGGACCGCAAGTGTAAAAACTGACTACGAGAAAGACAAACCACGGGTTCTCGGTGGTCCAGTGGGTTGTAAGTGAGCCCTCGTAAAGAATAATCGCTGGTTCGAATCTAACCTGGGGTCCGGGTTTTGTAAATATCTCAGCACCACTGTAGTTATAATCTTGAAAAGAATCTAGTGGTGATAAAATGTAACAACCTTGGCGATTTTTTAACACTTAGAGACCAAGGCTAGTTCTTTGCAAATCACTGAAAACTTTTCGGTAAAAACACTTGAGTCGAAATGTAATCGACATACAGAGGAGACTTTTTCTATCTGTTTAAAGGTATCCACCTTTCTTAAAAGCGTTAGTTGAATCTCAAAGTTAGTCAGAATTAAAATTCACGAAAGAAATGAAAATGGAGTTCAAATTTTGAAAATTCCGAGCGAAATCTCGACAGCCACAAACATCAACAGAGCATCTGGGAAATTACAGAGCTCCCATAGGCGAAATACTGCTTGCTCAACTGCTTCCCTTTTTCAAAATACGACCCTAAACAGAAAAGTGCACAAACCACGCCGTCTTGAGAAGATCAGGACTTCATTGTGTAGCTTTATCCTGTTGATAAAGATTTTTAAATTACAATATTTCTCGTATCAATTAATAAAGTTCACCTCGAGCTAATATTTCTTGGTTTAAAGTATAAAGCTTCCACTATTTCCGCATCATGAGTGGAAATCAACTCAAGACGGACGCTAAGTCTTACCGTCTAGTAGGAGAGTATTGTAAGGCACATAACTAAATATGATTCAAATGCATTTAAATCGAATTCAACGCTAAAACTGATTTTAATGTTACCAACACGGTAAACGCAATTTAAACCACGGTAGGAAGTAAAAACTGAACCATAAAAGGATGCCCTATTGTCAAAAGACGTTCTCTACAACGTAACAAAAACTGAAATTTTTAAACTTGGTAAAGGACTATTTTACGATTACATAAAACTGAGGAAGAATCAAAGCAATTACTAACCACATCGCTGATTAAATGAGGCGCTGTATCGAGACACACGGTATCCTCCTCAGAGGCAGTCCCCCGTTCGTCTCCTATTGGTAATGGAGAAGATGGGCACGGTGACAGTGATGTGCATGGCACCCATTTGTTTTGTGTCTCATTAGCATGCTAAAAGCATATTCAACTATACTAACATCAAAAAACCAAAACCAACGATCAGTCGTTACGAAACTTAAACTGTGCTGGCTCATTTTGTTGGTAGTGATACAGCAAAAACAGTGCAACCGGAAACACCACCCTGATTCTTTATATTCTTGTTGGGCAAACACAAGGTGTTATTTCTTCGTTCACAAGCGAACTAACGCTTCGGCGGATTTCTCTTTCTTTAGGACCAGGAACGGTCAAGTTGACCACAACCTACCCAGCCGAACATTTGTTTGGCTCCCCTGTTTCAGTTATTTTCTCTGTTTGATTATGGATGTATTTGGCTGGGCAAATTGCGGTCAACTTGACCTCTCTAGACTCTGAGGAAGGCGAAATCCGCCGAAACGTCAATTCATTTGTAAATAAAGAAATAACATAACATCTCGTCTTTGCTCAACAAGCATATAAAGAAATGTTCGACCAATGTCGAGATTGATAGAGAGTCTGTGGCGTGAATTGCCAACCTGATTCTTTGCAAGACTGATAATCTGGTTGATGTTATCAAGCATGGCAATATGTGTCGCGTTAATACACAAAATTCTAGCTTGTGGCACTCCAATCTGCTGCAGATCCCTTCGAAGTGACATCATCTGCTCGCGACACATTGTTCGATACGCCTCCAACTCAGCGATACGGGAAACAACATTTTGATCCTAGAAGCACAATGTCACCGAAAGCAAGAAATGTGGCAACAAAAATGGTGCCAGGTTTCGAAATAAGCTAAGCTATACTTCAGCCTTCTTATCGAATGTCAGTGAAGAGAGAGAAGTGTTGCTCGAATGAGTTTTAGGGGAATTAGTGCCATAATCTGAGTCGTTCTGAAAATAACATCAGAAGTCTGATGATATTACTGGAAATCGCACTACGGAAACATTACTGAATCTTGCGTTAGAGCCTTTACCCAAAGGGCTCGCATGTGAGTGTTTTCAGCTCTGAGATGCCAGGCAATATCCCCTCCAACCGACACCATGAACTCACAGTCGTTGAATTCATGCAACTGGAAGTGCTCTCATAGAACTATCTCAAGCACAATAGGGAAGAACCACATCACCTCGCTACACACGATAGCTCAAGTTTTATGAAGAATGAGAGACTCACAGTAATCTTAATGCTCTTAATAGAAACACTGCCTCGACATACGGATGCCTGGTCCTCCTTACTAATGTAGTACAACAGGTGTCCATGTTTTATCTCGAAATATCGCTGTCTCCAACCATTAATGTAATTCGTCCATTTAAAAAGCGTTCCGCATGACGGAAGCACCCTTCAATAAAACAAAATTCCAAAATTTTGAAAGAGATCGTGACGAAAAAGGCGGGAACATCGACAACATCGATTCTGAAAGGAAATTAAAGAGAAACTCACAATCGGGATTGGCTAGATTGAGCTTCCATCCATTCAGAACTGTAATCGGTGCAGGTACTTTCCCTTTCCAGGTAGGCTGAGCAAACAGTGAAACCGCCTAGAGCAGACGCATTTAAATGACAGCCCTGTAACATCAAACATCATTCATCCCAAAAAGAGCAATAGGTAATCAACGAATTAGCCTTAAAACAAACTGAACCATGGGAGCACCATAAACATGACATTGCAAACAATATAGTTAACGTAATCGAAAGCAATCCCAACTCGATCTATGGACTGACAATCACAGAATCATCCAGGATCCATCAACGATGATAAGTGAGCACTAAAAAACGCCAGAGCACCGTCTGAAATACAGAAAACCCGCCTGAATTGAAACCATGTAGATCCATTACAGCTGTCGAACCGTTGTACTACGAACTTAGCAAACAAACAAATAAGATATGAGATACAGACGATTAAGCTATGCAAATTCAAGTTTGTGAGGAGGTCCGCCAACAGCTGAGCACTTGAACCACAGCAGTACCTCCACGGACGACGAGCCACAATACAAAGACAACACCAAAACTTCTCTTAGTCTTAAGACTCAAACAGGAACCAGTACATCTTTCCCTGGACCTTCAAAAAATGGTTGGATTCGATCCGATCACATCCGACCGCAAGAGCACTCAATCATCGCTGGCAACGCGCCAAGTTTCGAAGACTCCAGATTGTGGCTGCATCCATTCCGTGCGTACGGTAGCGAGGATGGTTGCGGCCGGCGGAATGGGGCCATCGGCGCGCTATCCGCAGCCCCAGTGCAGGTTGCGTCGAGGCTTTTCTGTGGCACGCGGTGCTGGCGAATTTGTGAGAACATGTCTACCACCGAAAGGACGTTCATTGCCGTGAAACCCGACGGTGTGCACAGGTTGGTGAGCTTGACACGCAGTTCTTTTTCTATGGAAGCCTAGACCGAAGGTCACCTTATCACCTTTAGGAACCTTGTCGGGAAGATAATCCAAAGGTTTGAAGAAAGAGGTTACAAGTTGGTCGCACTTAAGATGATGACTGCTTCTAAGCAACACTTAGAGGTAAGATTCTTAGCAGATCGTCATTTTTGTTGCTCAAGTGATGCATACATACCTCTACGCTAAATATGGGTTTTCACAAATTTCGGTAGGAATACTGCAAAAGGCAAATTTTTGCTGTTTTTACAGCGTCTTTTGTACATTTAATAAGCCATTTCATGTAGTGCATAAGCAAACCTTGCGCCTACAGCAGATTTCTTCGCTCGAATACCTGCTTTCTGCACAGGTTCACTACAAAGACCTCAAAGACAAGCCGTTCTTCCCTCATCTGATCGACTACATGGGATCTGGTCCAGTTGTTGCTATGGTTTGGCAGGGTCTTGATGTCGTTAAGCAAGGGCGTTCCATGCTTGGCGCCACCAACCCGCTAGCATCTGCTCCGGGCACAATACGTGGCGACTTCTGCATACAAACGGGTCGTAACATTTGTCACGGGTCCGACTCAGTTGACTCGGCCCAAAGAGAGATTGCACATTGGTTTAAGCCCGAGGAAATAAATGATTATGAGAGCCCTTTCATCAAGACATGGGTTTACGAATAGGCTGGTCTTTGTATCTGCGCGTCCTTGTTGCGTTGTTTATCAGAATGAAGTTTTGTGTAGTGCTTTCTGTTGTTGTAACACCACACGTTCGGCCTTCATTTCATCGATAGGACAGCTCATGTATTAAAGGATGATACATAATCTTTATTTTCGACTAACATTTCGACATATGTCCTCGCCGGATTGTCGGGCATCGAATCGGATCATTGGCTCTGAAGACGAGGTCGTCGAAATGTTAGCCAAAAGTGAAGATTATATTCGTGTCGTTCGTGTAAGCTAATCAAAGAAAGAATCCAAGATATTAGTGATCCCGAACACTAGGAAGAGGCATGTTTCAATTTTGTAGACATATTGATAGAGGAAATATGACAGCTGTTTGAAAGAGGATCACTAGGACTTTATTGTTAACAAGAATACAACGAGTCATCCGAGCAATTGTCCAAGTTTCTGCGAAAGAGCTGTGTTGTAGAAATCGCTTTCAGGTCGATCAAGGTGATTTTCGAAATCACTCAAGTTGCGATAAAGTTTGTTATAGATGGCTCGTGATAACGTCGTCAGTGAATCGGATGACGTGTCTAATCTGTAAATACAAAGCGTACCAGTAAAATGCATTATTTGGATACAAAGGATATCTCAATGACTAACTCCCTTTTTTCGAACTAGGCTTCCAGACTATTAAGAGCAAACTTTATTCGCATTTAGCCGATTGTAGAGTGCTTGACAACCTATTCAATAAGGGATTTTTCCCCATTATCTCCAAAAGACGCATGTAGCACAGTGGTCGGAGGCGCCCTACAATACACGTGAGATGGATCCCTGCGCTCCAGGCCCACCAAGCCCTCCGTTCCCCAGAGGTCGGCAAATTGGTACCAGACATGCCTAGAAGGATAGCAGCACAGGCTCGATACATCGGTAGGCTACCGCGAGTCATTGTAAAGGCCAGATATGCATTCAATCACCTCAGACGATGCTCATAGAGTCGAATGCATGGTATATCTCTCAGGGATTGATCCACGTTGAGAGCTCTGCCCTTTCGCCTTTCTACTGATTTGTGGCTGTGAAAACTTCTGTTTTACGAAGTCAACACACTCATCACAGTTGATGATTTCAAGTAATGAATAGTATTTTGAAGCAATATACCATTATTTTTCTCCATATAAGAACTAATGCAAAAAGTTATTTTCCCTAGTTATGGAGCACGTACAGAAATAGCGGCGTCATTCTTCCGTTATCTACAGATTAGTACTTTTCTGAAAAAAGTTCTGATGTACAAGTAGCGGTGACTGTCTATGGTGAAGACTTGAGAAACTATTCAGGGATCCTAGAAATATAATTGGCATAAGGAAAGAGCTCGTTAACGTCCACAAGTGTTAACCACCGTTACGCGTAGTCATCAGTCTAGTGGTTGGCACGAGGTTACATTCGTCCCCTGTTTGTACGTAATAGTGTAAAATATCCAATTTGTAGTCCCAAAGAAATCCGAGAGCAATAACTGTGACTATAAGGGAGAGGAAAACGGGAGGTCCACCAAAAAGATGTAATCCGACTATTGAAAATCAAGCTACCTTACCATTAGTCTCCGAGTATGGTGGACAAACTTATAAGTGAGAATGGTTCAACTCGATAAAATGGAAGTAAAACTCGTTTAACAAAACCTGATTTCTGGCAAACCAACTAAACCCTACTTGTCGTTCATCAAAGAAACACTGGTGGGAATACATGCTCGTGTTCGTTTCGTCGATGAAGTCTTACAGAAATTACGAAACACATCAGCACTGAGACGACGTTTCGTTTCAGTTTTAGGTCAAAAGGGTTGAAAGGAGAACACATAACTTCGCGTTGCGTAAACATGTTGTAAAGTTCTGCAAGAAAATTCTGAGAGCACTAGTCTTTGCAGACTTCGAAATTCTCCGTAGATATTAAATGTTCATAACTGGGAAATAAATTAATCAATCAGTTACGGGGTTACGGACGATGTGCCACAAGTCCGATTAAGGATCAAATGCTAATTGACTGCAAATGTCAACAGACTCTGCATGGTACGCTTTACAGATTTCCCTTCTGAATGCCAATTAATCTATCTGTTGCAGAACTTAAACTGTTCCAAATTAAAGGCAACGGGATGGTATTGGCATCAGTACATATAGTCCACGTTGTTACTCCCAGGACCAAATTTTTCACCTCGGCGTTGATCAAAAGTTCACTGTTTTCTTGATAAGCAAACATGAGGTATTTATAGGGTTCATTCACAATAGCTGAGTTGGCAATTTCACCTTCCTCAGAGCCTGGAAAGGTCAAATGGACGCGCGATCTACTAAGCGAAATACTTCCATAACCCAGCAGATAAGAATTAGAACATAAATATTCATTAGCACAATGAACCTTCTTTTAAACACTCACCGTTTTAGCTTATTATTTACTGCCTACTCTTTTTTTAACGGCAGGGTATAGATTGTGAAATATACCTTCAATGATGCTGAGATATTTGCAAAACTCCGGACCGCAGGTGTTATGCGGTGGGGAACGAACGCCGATTTGAGCCCTCCAGATCAATCCCGCTGATGGATGCTTGCTGATGGCAAAAGATTGATAGAACTAGCTGAGAGAGAGGCGAAACGAAGGACCCGCGTGGTGTGGTGGTGGACGCGGTACTCCCCGGAAAGGACAATAGCGCGTTCGTTCCCCACCGCATACACCTGTGGTCCGGAGTTTGGCGAATATCTTAGCATCATTGAAGTTATAACTCACCGTTTTGTTTTTGCTAAGAATTCCAATTACATTAAGGAGACGAAACGTACAGAGTCCTGGCATGGGCGAGGAGTGCCTAACCCAGGTCAAAAAATCACCCTGAGGTATGGCACGAGGTCACAAGGCACTATTCCTTGAGGTTTTTTTATACTTTTGGGATTAGTCCAAAACGCTTCAAAAGCTTTACGCGCTCATTTTTAGATTCCTGTGCGATGATTGCGACTTTTAATTCAAGATATTCTTCGTTATAAATCTGTCTTATGCGCGCCCCGTGTTCTGCTTCATTTTGAGTTTTTCAACTATTTTTTCAACTTTTAACCGACTAAACAACCAACTACTTTTTTCAACTTTTAATCGGATGAAGAGTTGTCCACCCGTTTCGTCAACAGATTCCTCCACACACGCTTTACAAGAAATTGGGTACACTGTACTCGAACTCGTGCAATCACCATCTCTACCGTTGGGGCATATTATGCAATTTTTCGTTGTATATAGACTGTCATATGTGTGGTAACGAACTACCTGACGTCTTAGTGTCCGCTTGCTGTCTAAGGAGCCCTCGAGAGAAAGGAGGTGGTGTTAATGCGTCTACTTGTTTTTCGTTCCTGTGTAACGTATCTGACCTGACTTTGTAACGGAGTCGATCTTGAAATTTGCACAAACTGCATGTCATCCTACGCAAGGTTTCTTCAGAAATGGGTTGCTCTGGTGAGAAACTTGGATTCAAGTCTAATAGCGTGCGAGCGCAGTCAGAGAGAGTTATGCTTCCCAACACGATGAGCCTTGACTTTTCTTCAAGCTATCGACCCCAGTTTGAGTTTTGCTACTTTTATTAACCGTTTTTTCTCCGTTCTATTCAAGCTAATTTATGCGATTGGTTTAGTAAACTTTCGAATTTTGTGCTTAAGGTTACTTTAGCATTCGACCTAATAGAATTGCAAACCAATCAGTTTCGTCGTCAAGGAAACAGTGAATTATTCAGTTAAAATTGGCATGTTCTCTCGTGTTAGGTCTAGGCGGGAGAAATATGGGCCTTATTTTCGTTCACATAGGATCTATATATGTTAAACTTTAGTGAATGCTGTGTAAGGCTTCACAATAGAGTAATCCAGAAATATGAGTGAAACAATCGATACATGATCGACAAGCCTAAACAGGGAAAATACATGGAAACCATGTTCGATTGAACCTTACAACATTTGCAATGGAACGTATTGGTTTGACAAGATTATAATCAACTCGCTAGCCTACAAATGCTGAAGCACAAATTTCTGCAGTCACGAAATCCTCACTACATGTAGGTAATCAACATGGCACACGTACAGAGCGAAACATCATCGAAATACACCCTCTCTTTCTATAAAATTATCAGTAGTTGAGCAGGAGTTAGAATATGATCACTGTGTATGATAATGAAGGAATGAATCGTCTAAAAAATTTGTAACGAATTCACAAAATTGGGAGTCGCAAGGCAACGACTACTGAGCACCCACCTTCGACGACGCGAAAGGCAATCCGTAGATTCTCCATAGGCTTAGATTACCCCTTCTAATAGCAGAGAAATGTTGTTAACTTGTACATTACATCAATATTCATACCTATCACTTCACTGTAGTCACACATATGCTATACGAAAAGCCAAAGCTCTACTACATAAACCAATTCGGAATCTACCCAAACACGATATAACAAAAAAAAAAAAAAAAGATAAAGCTCTCGGCATTGACCAATACCTGAAGGATGCACTCGACTTTATTAGGTATCGTTAGGAATGAGTGGATGCATATCTGGCCTTTACAATGACTTGCGGTGGCCTACCAATGTATTGAGCCAGTGCTGCTATCCTCCCAGGCAGGTATGATACCAACTTGTTTTACCTTGGAGGGATGGAAGGCTTAGTGAGCTTGACATGCGAGATCGAAACCATGTGAATTGCACGACGCCTCTAGCTACTGTACTACACGCGTCCACCCAAACCACCTGCTTAATATTTTTTAATCAAGAAAATTCGTCTCTAAATAGCAAAACTACTATGGACTGTGACGTCAATACCACAGTCAGCAAAAACAAATTCGAAAAGTGCATTCTGTGATACCGACCGTGGTCCAAGTTCAAGAATCATATTCGATTGACTAAGCGTTGATAACGCTACTACTTTAGTCTGAAGACAGTAAGTCTCATTACCATTTACAAGAGTTTGAAAAAACTACTTCAGGGTTTAACTTTTTATTTACTGCCTATTAATTCTTCAGAAGGGCGAAGCAATGGCCTCAGTGGTGTATTGGGTAACGCGTTAACCCACAGAAAAAGTAATCGCGGGTTCGAATCTGACCTGCATTTTTGCAAATATCTCAGCATCAAAGTGGTTGTATTTCAGGGTTCTCGGAAAAGTGATGTTTAATAGGCGTTTAGCATGGTACTGAAGTTAGATACGAACTCGACAATATCCATGGATGAAGACCGCAGGAAAATGAGACTCATGCGGAGCCGGATTCAGCGTGTTACATTGCATTCGATTGATTTGTCGAATAATATCGAAAATCGTTAATGTTCTGGAAGTTTTAATTTTGAAGAAGAAAACCTCCGTCCGGTCATAACAGTACAACGACCGCCTCGACGAAGACCATGGAACGTCCTAAGATGGAAACTTTGGTACTCCACGAAATATCATGCACGAGCAATCAATACGTCAAAATGCAACGAAGATGAAGTATGCTTAAGCAGCACAGAAAAAAACCCACATACGCACACTACCAACTCATTCAGGAGTGATAGCTGTGGGACAAGGAAACGAATGGAAGAACTGCTGTAGGACGTCACACGAGCACGCATATCAAATTGTAATGTGAAATTCACAAGCAGTGCAAGGATCTTTGCGCAAGATTCTCTTGAATTTTTGCATGTAATACATAGGGATAATAACCCAAAAGTTAAAATTAATCATAAATGGTGGGACATTGGTGCGAACGAAAAAATTCCAAGAAGAAAGCAACTAGCACTCTTCTCCTGCTGTGTCCTGCTTCTCCCTTCTTCTTTAGAAAAAAATTGTGGTTCACTCTTATCAGAATTTTAATATTGTAAAGAAAATTAGGATGGCAGGTGTGAATGTAGAGCATCGAGGCATGGAAGTCTACAAAACGACGTATGAGAAAGTGCAAAACCACTAACCGCGTGTCCTTCCAACTTTCCCCGTCTTTAATATAAGCTTCAAGTGAATTGTTCTCGCAGTCTGCACTCAGATTCCAGTTTATGACTTGCATAAGGACTGCGTTCGTACCACAAACCGAACTGACATTCTCACATAATCGTATCGCATAAGGATTCAAGCTGCAAAAAATCAAATATTTGAGTACAACTCTGGTTTAAAATTTGTAAACGTACTAGAACAGATCCATACTTCTGAAGAAATATTTTGGCAAAAAAAATGCCAAAACCAGAAAATAGGTAACTTAGGAAAAATTCTCTCACAGCAAATGCACAACTACATATCGCCGTAAAATTCGGAGAAAACGGGACCATTTTACCAAAAGTGCTGAGGACTATTTTCAACGGCATTCAATAATAATGACACAGGTCTTGCAGCCCGTTAACCAAGTGGAAGGAATGTTAGCCAGTTTAAATGTCGGATAGTTCAGTCCTCAGTTCAACAGAACTATGTCGATAAGAAACGAACTTGGGTTCACATTTAAAAGACAGGAAATTTCCGATCCAATCCACTACGTCTACTTCGTCACCTCTCCCACGCATGTGGGCATGTGCACAACAGGAGTGTTCTGTCAAATGATGAGCTGCATTTCATCAGAAAATCTCACATAAATAGGAGACAACTCAAAGTTATTAAACCATACATTTACAATTTTCTCATAATATTCACACTACATCACTCCTTTCGCAAATTCTCTAATGCCACAAGCTTGAAAGCCACAATCAAGCAAAATTGTTTGAAGGGCACAAGTAACCAGATGGTAGCGTATTTTCCACCTGAATCCAGGACTTTCATTCTGCTGACATAAACTGCTAGCTGTGATGGTACATTGATTGCAAAGCAATTTATTTGAGCACAACAGTATTGAGAACCTAGTGAACCTAGCAACAACCTCTTATGAAAACCAGCAACACGACGAAATGTTTTATTTTGAAAATTATAAAGTGAAAGGAATAGCTCTCCTCGACATTGGTTTAGTATAATATCTGTGGTGGATAATCAGTCGATTGAAAACAAAACGTAAATTCATAAGACCAACAAGAACATCTGTTAGTCTGCGTCCAGCGTGAATTGAAATCAGCTCATGCCACCACCAATGTATTGTATATCCACCTTTCTTAAACTCACGAATGTGCCGCCAAAGTGTTACCTAGTATTATAGAGTGCGAGTTGCTTTAAAAATACGATTACCTTTTATCTTTATAGTTCTGATTGGAGAAGTATACACCGACAATATTTGGATGCGAAGCATGAATAATTGCCAACGCTATTTCAAGAGACGGTGCTAGGGGAGACGACTCATGTGAAAGTGGAACGGCAGCAGAAACCTTGAAAAGGAACAGATTACTCAATGTTTTTCATCAATAAGCAGACACGAGGTTGTTAATATAGAATTTATTAGAACACAATTGCTGACGTCTCGGCGGTTTCGCCTTCTTCAGAACCTGGAAAGGTCAAATTGAGATGTGATCTACTCAGCCAAACACTTTCACAACCCTAGCAGATAAACTTGACAATTCGATTTGCATTCGCATAAGAAACAGCTTCATTCAACCACCTACCGTTTATTTGTTGTAAGTATTTAAGTTATTTGGTGGATAGCCGCCGCACAGAGTAATACATGGTCGATAACTGTGTCCATGTCAAGTCATTGGATCAGCCTGAGGTATGGCGCCAGGTCACGCGTGATGACAAGACACTCCTCCTTGCGGTTCATTTTTGAATTTTTGGCATTGATCCAAAACGCTTCAAGAGTTTTACGCGCTGATGTTTTTGATTCCCGCGTAAGGATAGTGACTCCTACCTCAAAATCTTCTCCGTTGTGTTCTTGCATCCTATGCGCGCCTAGTGGAGTATTTTGTTTTAGTTTAGATTTACCGACTAGATGTTCTTTTATGCGGACGCAGAGCGGTCTACCCGTTTCGCCAACATATTCGTCCTCGCACGCTTTACAAGAGATCAGATAGACTGTACCCGAACTCATGCAATCACCGTCTCTACCATTTGGGCAAATTATACAGTTTTTTGTTGTACATAGACGGTCGTACAGGCGGTTGCGAACTAGCTGGCGTCTTAGAGTGTCCGGTGGTATTTCTATCACTCTTACGGAATTCTCTAGACCGGCCCTTATTAAGCAGCGTTTTATAGCTGCACTTATTTCGTTNTAACTGTGTCCATGTCAAGTCATTGGATCAGCCTGAGGTATGGCGCCAGGTCACGCGTGATGACAAGACACTCCTCCTTGCGGTTCATTTTTGAATTTTTGGCATTGATCCAAAACGCTTCAAGAGTTTTACGCGCTGATGTTTTTGATTCCCGCGTAAGGATAGTGACTCCTACCTCAAAATCTAGGTGTTCCTTTATGCGGACGCAGAGCGGTCTACCCGTTTCGCCAACATATTCGTCCTCGCACGCTTTACAAGAGATCAGATAGACTGTACCCGAACTCATGCAATCACCGTCTCTACCATTTGGCAAATTATGCAGTTTTTTGTTGTACATAGACGGTCGTACAGGCGGTTGCGAACTAGCTGGCGTCTTAGAGTGTCCGGTGGTATTTCTATCACTCTTACGGAATTCTCTAGACCGGCCCTTATTAAGCAGCGTTTTATAGCTGCACTTATTTCGTTTGAAATAAAGGGCAACAGGAACGGAGCCTTGTTTTCGCTAGAATTATCGCTCTGGGGCGTGGGATTTCCTCGATGCCTATCCTGAGAAGCTACAGTTTCGTAACCATTTGAAATGGCTATTTGCCGCGCCAGTTTCGAGGATTCTTCCCTCTGCTCTCTACCTGTGCACACGCTAGCGGCGGTTCGAAACATATTTCTTATAAGCGCTCTTTTAGTGTGTGAGGGGTGAGAGGAGCGGTAGTGAACCACTATATTCTTACTGCTTGGCTTTCGATACCATTTTGTGTTGTAGCCGTTCTCGGATAGGTTAATTTGAAGGTTTAGAAAAGTTTTTCAGTTTTTTTTTTCAAAACTGAACAGCGAATGGGTCAAAACGGCAAGCGCAGCAGGTTTAAAACCAGCAGACATTTCGCATCTAAAGATCGAAG